GATCTGAAACCTATGCTTCCATTTACCCTCACCCAATCATTCATCCTGCCAGAAAAAAATGTTCCCCCCATTTCCAACCTGCCACCCCCACTGATTTTCTTCCAAAGACTAACCCCATGCGGTTTAAACTTCCCCCTTCTCCCCACATCTCGTTCCCAATCTCCCCCACCTTGCTGCCACCACCCTCTTCCATAATTTATTTTCCTAGTTGACAAATATCCACAGCCATTTGCCTTGAAGCGCACAATTCATCCCCGTAATAGATCTTAGGCCAAGACCCCCCCATACATGGGCTTCTTTACATCATCCCACTTCACTAAATGGTATTTCCTATTCCCCTCATCGTCACCCCATAAGAATCTACATTGGATCCCCTCATTGTCTCCTCTCTCTCTCTTTTACATAAATAATGAATCCATCTATTTTTTAGTCTATAAATGTCACTCTCAACATCATCAAAACTTTTACTATTTCTCTCTTTCCAAATGACCCAAAAAACAGTCAAAGTGACTAAACTCGCAATATTTCTTTTTGCACATAAATCATCCCAAGCCCAAAATTTCCCACCAACCAAACCAGCAATAACCCATTCAATCCCCAAAAAGACCATATACCATACACCAAATGTTGTAGGCAGTAGGACACCACAACAGAAGATGATTATAAGTTTCCTCCACCTTTAGACAGAAGTAGCAGTCGTTCACCAATATATGACCTCTAACTCTCAGCTTGTCAAGAGTTAAAATCCTCTCCCAACAAGCCTCCCATGCTATAAAAAAAAAAAAAAGCAATACAAGGGGGAACCTTGGTCTTCTAGATTTGCTTAGCCGGAAAATCCAAGTTAACAGCAGCATCCCATTTGCTCAAATATCTGTAAATACGAACTAACAGAAAAATTACCTTTCTTTTCCAATTTCCACATAATCTGATCATCCGTTGTCAAAATCTGCTGTAATGCAAGTAACTTCAGCAACTCTTCATATTCACATATCTCCCAATCATTCAAATTCTTAATAACATTAATCGACCATTCAATACTCTCATTTGCGACCCAGTATGCCTCTTCAACAACCATTTTCTTAGATTGGACAATACCAAAAATTCTGGGAAGTCTTCTTATAAAGCAGCCCTCACCAAGCCATTCATCCTCCCATGAGGATTATAGATTATGTTTACACCCGTATTATCCATGTACTCAGCTACCGCGATTCCACAATTCTTCTCCACTCTCTATCATCTTTACACAAGTACCTCCATAACCACTTACCTTGAAGGGCTTCATTCATTTCTACCATAAATCTAATACTAAGCCCCCCATGGTTGAAAGGATTTTTTTTTTAAAGTAATTAGTGTGATTAACATGGTACCAAACAATTGGGGGTACCGTCCCTATACAAAAGCTTTACAATGTAGTTAACGAATCAATGACATGCTCAAAATTCACATCACAAATCATGTCATACTCTAACAATAAAAACCCAAAATAATGCAACCACCTATCTCTCAAATTATACTAATCATTAGCTTTACCCTCAAAAGTTCTAGAATTTCTCTCATTCCTTAGAATCCAAAACAAAGATAGAGGAATTAGATTTTTCAACTTCCTATCTACATGCATCCCTTCCCAAGCCCACAATTCCTCCCTAATAGATCCAGCCATCACCCAGTTAACGCCAATCATACTAAAAATAGCATTCCACAACCCAGAAGCCACAGGACACCACAGCAGCACATGCACATAGCTTTCCTAATTAGCCATACACAAATAGCACCGATTTGGAATGGCCAATCCCCTATTTTTAAGTTTATCAATTATCAAGATGCATTCTTTACTGGCTTCCCATGCAAAAAAAGCAACTCTAGGGGGAATTTTTGCCTTCCAGATCTGCCTATAGGGAAAATCAAAACTTATCACATTGTTTTTGTCTGTTAAATGCTTGTAATAAGATTTGACAGAAAAAAACACCACTTTTATTTTCTTATCTTCTCGTATGGTTGAAAGGTTTTTTGATGTCATCCCATTTCACCAAATGGTATTTTCGATCACCATCATCGTCTCCCCAAAGGAATTACATTGAATGGCTTCCAACTTCTTTGCTACTTTCACATGGATTGTAATAGTAGAGAGATAATAGATTGGGAGGTTAGCCAAGGTGCTTTTAATAAGGGCATACCTGCCCTCTTTTGAAAGGAAATTTTTCTTCCAACCCACAAGCCTCTTTTTACACAATTCAATCACTGGTTCCCATGTAATTTGATACTTGTATTTTGCTCCCAGTAGAACTCCATGATATTTAAAATGGAGCTTGACCTCTTTACAACCTAGGACTTCAGCAAAAGAACCCGCATCATTATTACCACCAATTCTAACCAATTCAGATATGTTTAGATTTATTTTAAACCCTGAAGCAACTTGGAAACACAATAACACAGTACAAGTGTAATAAATTCCTGAAATCAGGTTAATAGAAAATTAACATGTCATCAGCAAAGAAAAGATGAGACATGTCCTTAATATGCTCGATTCTACCAACTAAGACTCCCCTCATCAGCTGTAGATCTTTTGCCCTGCCTAACAGCCCATTAAGAGCTTCCATCATGATGATAAAAAATAGATGAGATAAAGGATTCCCTAGTCTTAAACCTCTAGTAGCATTGAAGAAGTTGGAAGGACCTCCATTGACTAAAACAGCAAAAGAAGTAATTGTGATGCATGATTTCATCCAATTTCTCTATTTCAACCCAAAACTCATTCTAATATATACTCAACAAAATTCCAATTAACATAATCGTAGGATTTCTCCGTGTCTAAGTTTACAAACCAATACATCCTTTTTATCAACCATTAAATCATCCACGGTCTCATTGGAAGCCATCACGGCATCGAGGATCTATCTTCCCACTAATAAAAGCATGTTGACGTTCCCCTATTACCTCACCAAGCACCATTGATAATCTTCTAGCCAACAATTTGGCAATAAGCTTGTAAATGCAATCCACCAAGTTAATTGGCCCAAAGTCTTCAAACTCAATAGCTCTACTTCTTTTAGGGATAAAAGTAAGGAATGTGGAATTTAAGAATTTCACACATTAACCCAAAGAGTGCAAATCCTTAAAGATGCCCATTATGTCTTCTTTCATTAAGTACAAAAAAGATTGGATAAATTTCAAGTTGAAGCCATCAGGCCCCGGAGCTTTGTTGCCATTACACGATTTCAGACCTTCCAATACCTCATCTGCAGTGAATTCAACTTCCAACAACTGCCTGCTTTCCTCAGATATGCTGCTAAAAGACAATCCATCCAGCTTGGGCCGTATAACATGGTCTTCCTCATACAGCTTTGAAAAATGGTTTCTAACAGCCTCCCTCAACTCAGTATTTCCACCAATTTTCTTATTGTCCACTGAAACCTCATTAATAAAATTGCATCTACGCCTATGTTTAGTGAATGCATGGAAATACTTAATATTGGGGTCACCCTCCTCAAGCGATTTCTCCCTGGA